TGACCGGGTCGAACGGGTCGGCCGGGTCAATTTCTATTTTAAAAAAAATTCAAAACAACGTCATTTTAATAAAAAAATAAATAAAAGTCAACGGGTTACCACCAGGTTTTTGACCGGGTTTCTGGGTCAACCCGTCAGGTCGGCCGGGTCACGCCTGGTCATGGCTTACCTTATTTTTTCATCAACCCGGCCTCGTTCCAGCCCCAGGTCGGTCGGGTCCCGGGTCAACCCGCCGGGCCGGGCCGGATTTTAAAACTATGCATCTGCCTTTCATTGTGGGTTTGCATAGTGCAATCAGCAGTAAAATAAAAACTATAACTAATAATATTTTTTAAAAATTTATTAACTATTATACTAGCATTATTCAATATAATAAAAATAATAACATTTTTAATATAAATAATAATATTTTTAATATTAATAATGACATTAAACCTACACGACTTAAATTTAAGTCGGTCCGGCTACAACATAAGGCCCAAGAACATTTGACATGGGCTTAATTGTAAGATCGTATCATAAAAGTATGATAACTAAATACAAAATAAAAATATTAAATAAAAAATATTAATTGAAAAAAAAAAAAACAAAGCAAAGCAAATGAATAATACTTTGTGAAAAGGGGCACAATAAAATTCCCTTATCATACGATGATAATTTAATGAAAAGTAAAGAAAACAAATTATAAAGTTTAATTCTCAATTAAATTAATATTAAAAAATAAAACTAAAAAAAACTAATTAAAAAAAAATTCGAATCAACTGAGTTAACATGTTTCATCATGTTAAATCATCAAATTTAGAATCCATGTTATGAAAATGTGATAGTTAGATAGAAAAATAATTAATATCAATGAATTAAATCAAATAAACAAAAGATTAATTAAAATGAACAAAAAAAATTATAACTAAAGCATCGACTTTTTTGTTATGGATTGTACAGTAAAAACTTTTTTTTTTAAGTTATGGTTAGTTATCTGTAATTTGCTGGGAAAATTGAGCAATTAGCATATAAAAATAAAAATAATTAATTAATATAACAGCAAAAAATTTAAGAAAAATAATATATTTTTTGATGTTATATTTCTGAAATATAATATCAATTAATATTTCTGGATGTTTTAAAAACCAGTCAATTAATTCATAATAATTAGTTAAATTGACCAATGCAGACAAAAGTTTAAAAAACAACAACAAATAAACAACACATTTTTTATTATAAAAAAAGTTACATATATAAATCTTAAACTTGCATGAAATCTTGAAATAATAAGAAAAATTATAAAATTATTAAAATCACACATATTTTTTTATTATAAAAAAAAGTTACATATATCATACCCACTAATAATTTTTTTATTATAAAAATTATAAAACTATTAAAATCAGAATTTGAGATTAGGTTTTTAAAATTAAAAATATAATGAAAAATTAATTTCTAAAAATTCCTGTCATAATTTA